CACCCCACAATACCCATTGCCATTCTCTATGAAGGAAGTCGTTGAAAAGGAAGTGCAAGACATGTTGCAACTTGGCATTATAGAACCCTCAGAGTCACCATATAATTCTCCTTTGGTACTAGTCAAAAAGCCAGACAATGGCTACAGGGCCTGTATAGACTTTCGCCGTATAAACAATGTTCTGGTATCTGATGCAGAACCTATACCCAGAACTGATCACTTGTTTGCCGAAGTGGGAACAAAGAAATGGTTCTCGAAGTTTGATTTAACTAAAGGATATTGGCAGGTTCCTCTCGCAAAAGACTCGCAGCAAAAGACCGCCTTTTCAAGCCAATCAGGGCATTATCATTTCCTGTATATGCCTTTTGGCATCAAGACCGCATCCGCGGTCTTCACTCGTCTGATGAGAAAGTTATTGCTTGGAATACCCAACGTCGTTCATTACATAGACGACGTACTGGTGGCTACCACTACGTGGGAAGAACATCTAACAACTTTGAAGCAATTTTTTGCCAGGATACGACAAGCCGGACTAAGGATCAAGCCACAGAAATGTGAAGTGGCTATGAGCACAGTCACCTTTTTGGGACATCGATTGGGAGACGGCAACATACGGCCAGTCGAAAGCACGATACAGAAGATCACCTGTGCTTCTAAGCCTGAAACAAAGAAGCAACTCCGGTCATTCCTTGGACTGGCTGGCTATTACCGTGACCTGATACCTCGGTACGCCGAGAAAGCACAGCCGCTCACTGAGATGACGAGGAAGATGGAGAAAAACAAGACTACGTGGACCACGGATAGAGAAGAAGCGTTTGAATCACTCAAAAGGGCTTTGTCTTCTGGGCCAATCGTCAAAGCACCCGATCTGAAAAGAGAATTCGTGCTTCGGTCTGACGCCTCTGATTCTTGTATAGGCGCTATCCTTATGCAAGAGCATGATGGCATCCTCCACCCTGTGTCATATGCCAGTCGTCAACTTCAGCCTCGCGAAAAGAGATACTCAGCAATCGAGAGGGAATGCTTAGCGTTGGTCTGGGCGATAGAAAAGTATCATGTTTTTCTGTACGGAACGTCATTTGTCGTACAGACCGATCACCAACCACTGCAGTATCTCTTAAGGGCAAAACACCTGAACAGTAGGGTATTACGGTGGAGCCTCGCGTTACAAGAATATTCATTCCGAGTCGAGCACATTAGAGGCTCTGAAAATGTCGGCGCAGATTATATGAGCCGGTTGTGAATTTTTACGTTTTCTCGAGACAAGCGACTACTTCAAGTTGTTTGTTTGTTAAGGACATCTTGTGAATGGACGACGCGTGGTGACTTCTCGCGCACTGAACTGCAGTTTATTTTTCTTCGCAAAAGAAACTTTTCAAAGGGGGGACTCTTGTTGTGAGTGAAGTGCGCGAGTCAAGTGACTTTCAAATTTGGCGCGTAAGATGAACTACTGACAATGTGTGCAAGATGGCGTATTGCGCCAGTGCGGCGAACACTGGCGATTGGAAAAAGAAGAAAATTCAAGGAAATGGGAGAAAAATCCAGAGCCAGGGCATCGAAGAACGAGGAAGAGGAGATTCGGGCTCGTGCTTGGAAGAAGAAGGCTAGGGTGCGGCGTGCGACCTCGTCGGGTGCGAGTACCTCCTGGGCGTCAGGGCATCCACCTAGCTGGCGACTGTTTCCACGGGGTCCTGGTGACCATTCAACCGCAGCGGCTATTGGCGAATCCTTGGCAAGACCTTGGTCTGATGTTCGAGCGGAAGACAGCGCAGCAGATGACGTCTACCGGGAGCGGGAGCAAGCCGTCGGGCTACGGGCCCGAGCTTATGCACTCTCACCACGGCAGCTTCCCCAATGGACTATTGAAGGGCGTGAACCGCTGGTGAGCCGTATCCGTCTTCTTTCGCGTCCGGACTCAAACACGAGGACTTTAACGAAAAGGACTGTTTAGACTCTTAGAGGTTTCCGCTCGCTAACGAAACTGACAGTGCTAATTAGTTAACATTTTTCTGATCTTAGTATTTTCCTTTTTGTGTTTTTTTGTGTGTTTGTGAAAGTACAATTTTTTTTTTGCAAATCAAACGCTCACTTCCTTTTCTCGTGAGAGAATAACGTTTCACAGCTAGCTCGACTGGCTTTATTTACTGAACCTGTCACAAGCACTGAGATCAACCCTGCTACCATCTGTGTGGATTTTTGTCGGGGAAGAAGCTCAAAATATCGCAGTATTGGAGGGGGCGTAAGAATGTGGCAGAGTGTGGTGAATGCATCATCACCAGCCGATGACCATCCAGAAAAGTCGCTATTGCCGAAAAGGTCAGTCATGGGTGATATGACGGAGGCAAATTTTCGAATAAAACAACGAAAATGTGAACATGAGCATAAAAAGCTGCGAAGTTCTATTATGGTCTTTGGTTTAGGAAATTCGGCAAGGAGTTTTGTGTGATCCGGAAGAATTCCATCTCTTGATACATACAACATGGCCCGAAATTGGGAGTTTTCGAGCACCGAAGCAGCACTTCTTTATGTTGAGCTGTAGACCGGCAGAGGTGAGGCAAGTGAGCACTGTCTCGAGGCGCTGACAATGGGTTGAAAAGTTGCTTGAAAACATCACGATATTGTCTTGATAACACGGGCACGTCTGTCATTTCATGCCACAGAGGATGTTGTCGATCATGCGCTCGAAAGTGGCAGGTGCATTGCAGAGCCCGAATGGCATGACGTTAAATTCGTGTCAGTCATCGGGGGTAACGAAAGCCACTCATAAGATGAACGTCATCCGTAAAGCCCACCCACTCTCCGCACAGTAAATTGGAAGGTGAGGAAAAGGGATTTGAAACATAATTTGCACTTGATCTATCATGAGTGGTCAGAACGGCGGAAGGAATCGGGAAGCACTGGCAGCAGACAGCGGTTTCAGAAGGCATAAAATGAGCAGTTTAGCCAGTAGAGACGTCACAAGAAAGTGGAACTAGGGCGGATGAGAATGGTGGTATTGGAGTGTTGGCAACAGAAACTCTTGCAGGTGAAGGTAACGAGTCGAGTAAAGCAAAGCCGCATAACGGCGAGAACGCTACTTTGGCCGGAGCACTGTCGATTATGGCATGGTGAGAGCAGAGAAAGTCCCAGCCTAATATAATGTCATCGGAACACTTCGAAAGCACTAAAAATTCAATGGCATAAATATTTTCAGTCATAACAATGTGCCATGCACGCAGCAAAAGGGCAAATTTTTTTTGTGCTACAGTGCTAAAAAAAAAAAAACTAGGGAAGAGCCTTTGTTACTTTTTTGAGTCAACGCCAAAGTTTCTCAGTCATTACAGACACTGCGGTGCTTGTATCAACCAAAACAGGTATACGTTCAACGGACACAAGAACGACGTCAGGTGGCATAAAACAAGGTCTCCTTGAGTTCGGAAGATCCATAGGTCTTGGCTCCGGAACTGCGGCTCTTAGTTGTCCTCAGGGACAGGGCGATCGTGACATGCATAGGGGAAAGGGGACTGCACAGAGGTGAAGGCGACTGGCGTCTGTTGAAGTTCTGGCAATGTGAAAATGTGTCCATGGCGGCAGGCGGGCCAGATGCGGTAGGCTCAGGTCGCGGTGGGAAGTGTTAGGCAGACGTCATCACGCAGGAAAAACTCGCGCCGCTGACAAAATTGTGCTACGTGACCCGCAAAACCACAGGCACTTGTCTTGAGTGCGCCATTGGTTCTGAAAGCATGGTGGTGGTTGGGAGAAAGGACGGGTAGCCTTTCACACTGAAAAATCTGAAAAAAGCTGATCACACTGAAAAAGCTGCCCATTCGAAGAAAAAAAAAGTGCTCAAGGTCACGAGGTTCGCGTGTCGTTTTTCTGTGGCCCTGCCATCCCTCCCTGCTTAGTGTGGGGATCTGAGGTGCGCCCGTGACCATTTCGCGGGCATTCCACCGTACGGCCGGTCCCTTTATCTTTTTCTGCTCTGGTAACGGGGTGTGGCGATAGATGTAACTGCGCGCGGGCACGGCACGTGTTAAGTGCGCGCCGAGAGAGCTCTCTTTTTTGTGGTCTTCGCAGGGTAAGCACGTGTTTCCTTCGTTCGCGTCCCCTTTGGGAATCGCCGGGCTGTAGCCTGCCTGGGGGCCTTGGCATCCAGGCAGGCGTGTTTACTTGAGTGCTAGCTTTGGTACTGTTCGCTAAGCTGCCTAGTGCTTGAAGTCCACACTAAGCAGCTTATCGTACCACACCGAGCCACACTTGCCGTAGGCCTACGCATACGAGGTTTGCTCCAACTCTCGCGGCCAGGCCCAGTGGCCATCATGAGAGTGCGCCGCATAGCCGCGAGGGACCTTTTCTCGACCGGCGTGTCAAAGCTCGCCATGGCCTGCTGCGACGTGCTTGCGGTTTCCCCTTATCGTGAACGTCCGCGTGCGGGAGCCTTTGCTCTCTGCGTCATGGGAGCGGACGTTGTACTGTTGCTCGGGGTGCAGCCAAAGACAATAAAGTGTTGGTGTATTTCTGTTATTCGAACACTGTCTGTTTTGCCGAGCCACGCTAAACGCCTTGTTAGTTGAACGCGAGTAGGTGACGGAGTCGCGGCCCTATGGCTTGCTAAGCGTGAACCTGCGGTGAGCATCCGCTACGGTGAGTAGCGAGGTCACCACATTAGCTTTCAGCACTTTCATCAAAACGAGAGAAGAGAGAATGCAATTGCAGCATGCGACAAACCTTTGTAACTCCACTCCCACAGGACGGATTCTTAAAGGTATTGCAGCGTTGGATTTGTGGGGGAATTAGCTCTTCCAGCGAATTCATTCTATGGTTATTTAAAGAAGTGTTTCAGGACCCCTTTAAGTTAGTTTCTGAACCAATATTTAATTAATAAGAACATAACAAGTAGAGAAATATCAGACTAGCCATTGTACTTTGGGATCTCTTTTTTTCTCTGTGCTAGCAGTAACCACTATTATTTAGGGGCAGAAAGCATGACAGTGGATGGAGCGACTAGCCCACTTTTCCAGATACGGTGAAGTGATGGCGGAGGAGCAGGATGTCGACATGCCCAGTGCGTTGTCGGCCGCAGCGCAGTCAGAAAGCGTGGACGACTTCGCCTTCGAGCTTCCGGCCGAGCTACTCGACGTCTCTTTTGTACTGCCGGATGAGCCCAAACCGACTCCTGCCGAAGATCCTGAGCCACCCCCCAAGCCAAAGAAGCCACGAAAGAAAAAAAGCAAGAACCGACCTGCCATGCCTGTGCTGCGTTCGAGCCGTGGTCGGGACTTGAAGACCACCGCGCGGTACAGCAATGCAAAATTCAAGGCCGATGAGAAGCCGTGGACAGTACCGTGAGTGGACAGTCGCGAGGCTTATAGAGGAATCGGTGATTTAGGCTATTTAATTTTGCCTAATTGGTTTTTCACGAGCTGCCACATTTAGCGGCCGGACACTGAAAGCAGACGTTTAAAGGCCTGACCCCACGTATCCATCGCAGCGTGTCGGCGCATGTCTTTCTGACACCATGTCAAGCCCTTCCCAAATGGAAAGAGAGAGCACGTGGCTTCGCGTAGCCATGCGCCCACTCTATAGGGAGAAGGCGTGGTGCCACGTCATAAAGCCTTGCACTTGGGGTCAGGCCTTAAAGGGGCCCTCCAACACTATTAAACCCCCATGTTTTGTTTGTGAGTTGTGTAGACTGAAGTAGACTGAAGACAGACTAATGCAGCAAGAACGGCAGTGATTACGGCACGCAGTCAGAAGTTATTCGACTTAGAAAATTCAAATTACAAGAACAAAAAAGTGCTGACCCTCAGCTGGATTTTCGCGGGGTAACTTGACCACATTCCACTCACCTGTGACGTTGCAGGGCTGTCTTAGTGAAATAAGCTGGAAGCTCCTACGTAGGGGAAGCTCGCACCTTATTGTTGCTTGTTCTTTTTTTTTTTTTTTTTCAAAGTAATGTTGATCTTGTTGCGACAGTAACAAACGCGATGGCTGAAGCCTGGCTTGCCAGAACGTGAGCGGGAGCTACTGTGAGTTATTTTCTGCTGTTTTTTCAACATTCCGGGTCACTTCCTCCTCTTGTTCTGAAAAAAGAGCTTGTGGAACGACCAGGACAGTGTACTGTTGACCCTTCACGTGTTGATTGGTGTGCGCCCGACGAACGAAAATCGTGCACTGCACCCCTTCAACAGCACACGTGTGGAAAGAGACAGCTCGCAAACTCCCAAAAACAATAAGAGGGAAGAAATAAAGAGAGGTCGTTTGTATGGACATCCGACCCGCGCAACCCAAAAATACAGTGGCAAAATTGCAGCCAGCATATCTGTCGTGCTGTGTAGTCGCAGTGATCTATTTTTTTTTTTGTGGCTGCGTCTATTTTTGTGCATGCGTCTGCATGCAAAGCTCTCGCGAGCGCCACTACGTGTTGATGTAGTCGGCAGCAGTATAGTGACTTGTGCGATTAAAATACTAAATAATTTGATATCGACGCTTAGACCTATGCTAAAGACATCTCCAGGAATCGGTCTGTGCAAACTACAAATAAAAAGTAGGTGCTTCAGTAGTGTAGGAGGCCCCCTTTAACAAGCTGTAGATGGGCATTCTTTGTTCCTCCAACAGTCCCTAGAACTGGTGCGGATGCTGCCTAACTAATTGGCTGTGGTTTTGCATTCCAGAACCACAAAACAATCATGAGAGACGCCATGGTGGAAGGCTCCAGAAATTTCAACCATCTGGTGTTCTCTAACGTGCACTGACATTGCACATTACACGGACCTCTGTCATTTTGCTTCCATTGAAATGCGACCGCTGCGACTGGGATCGAACCCATTACCTTCAGGTAAGCCGCCGTCATCACTGCACCGTGGCACACTGGTACAGATGATGCCGGCTGGACTAGGGACAAAGTGACAAGGATCTAATGCCAAGTCATGGCATTTTCTCGTCATTTGTCCTGCCGGTGCCGTTCGCATTACTTCTAGGGACTGTTGGGGGATTAAAGCTTGCTGAAAGGCACATAGGATAGGGGACATAGTTGGCATGCCTGCTTTCGGTGAATTAGAAAGGTGAATTTTTCTTGATTATGATCTGGCCACTAGATGCACCAGCCTGTGAAATATGCTAAATTAATTATTTCTCATTTTTCGCTGCCTCAGAACGATGTATCGACGAATTTCATTGTGAAAACTTTCAAACAGGCTGAAAGTCTTGGTGGCAGAGGATCGCTTTGTAGGGTACGGTCAGGATCGCTTTGTAGGGTACGGGCACCAATTTTCAAAGCCATGTTTACTCTGCTCTACAAATCTTCTTTCTACAGAGACTGCTTTGATCAAGTGTGAAGCTAAGTGAATGCCAATATTTTATTATCTTGATCTTAAAATCAGGTTTTGCATGGCACACCTGTCGACATCGACAGTAGCATATCTTCAGGCTTCATTATCAATTCTAGTGACTTCTAGACCAGTGTGGTTAGATTTGATGATGTCAGATATTGAAAAAAATGTTATGGCCTCTTGCGCCTCATCAACAAAGCCACAGAGCACACTGGAAACGTCACTATCTTGCACCAGTTGTGATGTCACATTGTACCATTTTGTGATGTCGGGGTACAGTACGAATCAAAACTGTCGTTTAAAAACATGTGATGATTTTTCAGTGCGTAGAAGTACATGTTCTAGACTTTCAAGAACTTGGCCTTTCAATTGATGAAAAAAAAAAGTGCACTGGAAAATTTTTTTGCCAATAAACCTTGAAGAGCAGCGTCTTTTTCAGTTTGTACTATAGTTGAACCCTGCTACAACGAAACTGAAGGGGCACGGAAAAAATTTTGTTGTAGTGAAATCGTAAAAATATAGCCGATCTGAACTAGGAAAACAAAGAAACGTTTATTCTCAAAATTTAAAAAGTGTCCGCTGCTTTTCATTCTATCCCAGCAGCATCACAACACGATTCTCACCCATGCACATCGAGTTCATGGTGAAAAGCACGCTGAAACAGTGACTATAACCGCTTTCGTGAACGAACCAAACAGTTGCGTTAACACGTTAACACCAGCAGCTGTCCGCCATCAAAACGCCGAGATGGCAGCAGGGTATCGTGAAGCGGTGACTTTTGCCTTATTTTATGCCATTCTTATCATCCATCACTCGGGGCTAGCTGATTTTGTTGATAATGCAAACAGCTGCTCTGATTAGTTACCACACTCGCCAAGTGCGAACAAAACAATAAGCATTGGAATCGGGAAAAGGCATCGTTTCGCAGATGCACCCAGCAGCTGCATGAAGGAAACCATGAACTAGGCTTCAGCTTTGGATCGTCTGCGGCTGTACAGTAAACCCAGTTTTTAACATTTTGATGCATTTTCAGAAACTGAAAATACGTTGACGAAGTCTAAAATACGTGTTGGCAGCACCAGAAACCACCGCTGTTCAGCAAGCGTGGGCGTCGCCATTTCTCAATAGCGATGGCAATGAGGCTGCCCTCCTTTTGGCAAAGCAGGGCAGCCTCATTGCTATCGCTATCGAGCAATGGTGGCACTTATGCTTGCTTAACAGTCATGGAGGAAGGATGTTAACAGCGGTGGTATAGTGTACTAGCATATTCTAGTACACTATAGCGGTGGTTTCTGGTGGTGTCTACGCATGTTTTAGACTTCTTCGCCTAATGCAGGTTCTGAAAATGCCTCAAAATGTTAAATATTGGGTTTATGGTATAGCAATAAATATCTGAGCCTGGAATTGCATTGTGAAATTTCGTTGAAGTGGGATGGCAGAAGAAAAAATGTTCGTTGTGGCGACAATATTTATGCATTGACTCCTATGAACTGCTGACGGGGAACCGTGAATTTTTCGTTGTAGCGGGATTTCCGTTAATGTAGCGTTCATTGTAGCGGGGTTCAACTGTAACAGGGCTGAACTCGGTATCCTGTTGAATAATGTAAATCGTTACCGCGGGATCTTGAATTCTGACAAATTATCGCGGAATCACGCACTGAAAATGGCGATTTGGGAAAATTTGAGGGCCTTGGTGGCTGCTCGAATACGCAGTACTTATCGAACGTATTTGTGGAGTAGCTCCTTGAGTACGTTTTGTATCTATGCTCATGACTTGTAAACTGATGTCGCTTGTGCCCGACTTCTTCTGCAGTGAACGTAAACGCCTGCTGGCTGCACTGAAGGCGCATGGAAGCAGTGACATCAACAAGCTGTCCGAGGCTGTTCGCACGCGAAGTGTTGCTGCTGTCAGGTGAGCTGGCCATCCTTCTCCAAGAAGACAGTGTTTAGAACTTTAGAGAGCGGAGTTGGTTGGTATTTAAATTATGTTCAAAGAAGGGGCATGCAAACACAGACTACAGAAAGAAGTCACGGCACCACTGATTCCCTCTAATATCTGAAGAGGTGCACGGTGGCAGAAAAGAAAGAAGGCACGAAAACATATCTGCACATGCCCAGGGAAGAAACGAAACCTGACAAATTCTGCACATGGGGGTCCACTATAACTGTTTAGGTATTTTGATTCTTTCTTTGTGTAGATCAGTCGACGATTGGGTCACTCATACGCTAGTACCACTATCACCGAAATGCCGTGCCTCTACTGTTAGATGCGTTTTGTCATTCCTTTGCCTTCACAAAACTGAACATTAATCGAATTTCAGCGTGCATTTACTCTCTGGATATCGATAAGATATATTAAATAGGAAGTATTTTTTTTACCATAAAGCTAGTTGTTCTTCAGGTTTATTGGGCCTAAAACTTCATATGCCCCTCACTCCCACAGAAGCTTGTGTAAGCTCAGTTATCCAGGAATACTGCATTATGCTACAAAAGCAAAATGCCTGTAGTAACCTGGGAAAACGGTCAAAAGTTGATATTGTTAGAGAAATTTTCAAGTGTTTGATGTCATTGCTCATCTCTTAAAAAAGCGTCAGGAGAAATTGATCATATGAAACGGACAGTTCTGGGTTTCTTCGGTATTTCATGATATCTCTGTTTGGGAAACGGAGTAAAAAATGCAACTTGACAAAATGTGTTCTTGGGCTAGTTGGTTCCTAAAAAGGCGGCTGTAATTGTTTTTGTGGAACGATGTGAAGATATTGTGATGTGTGGGTTGTTATGTACCTATACTACGTGTGGGCCCATGTTGCCTTCATCAGAGGAGAAGGCTTTATTCCTGCGTTGATGATCTTGTCTAATGAAAAGTTTGTGCTTTGTTATGTGGTTACTTGAAGAGCAGAAAATTTATCTCAAGACAAAAACGCACTACGGCCACGGCTTGAAAGGATGAGTTATGGAAAGCTTAGGTTGGCAACACTAAACGTGCTAGCTGACTTTGCGAGAAATCTTCCTATTTTAGAGTAAAGTAGTGGATTTATATCTGGTTTTAACTTAAGCACTACTGGCTGACGTGTACGAAAGGGGTGCTATGTAGAAGGTCTTTAGGTTCATGTTTGGCACACAACTGTGAAAAAGCTTCTTAGTAACACGTTCTTAACTTAAGATAGCTTTCGTTTAATGTGCTCAGAATGGTTCCCTTACTGTGCATAACTGTCTTACATGCTCAGTTGGGCTTGTGATAGTACAACAGTGCAGAAGAAATAGCAATCTGAGCATGTTGTGGCTTGTGAGAGCAATGGCTCGTATTCATATCTTGAGACAAACTTATATTGATAGGTGCACACTGGGCATTCATGACTGCTACGGCTAGTACTTTGAAACCTTGTCACGAAAACTCTTTGCAATGAAGTTTACATACAAATGAATGAAGCAAGTTTCAATTAAATTTAAGTTCATATCTCTATGTTTTACTCACGAAAAAGAAGCGTAGCGAATCTCAAGAACGTATTCCATCCAAAGTGGATCCGAAGCCTGTACTTCTCATAATTCCCATGTGGGTACAAGTGCCACTGAGGAGCCTGTGTAGACACTAGCACCAGATTCCCCTCTAGGTATTATTGTATGAAACTCTATGCGTGAAATCCATTCACTCTCTCCCAGTATGATAGCAGTGCATGCTAGTGTTGCTGCTGTGTAATTTTAGCACACTATAGAGCACAGCGATGGCACGCGGAACCATTTTTCAGCAAAAAGCACATTCGACCCAAACACCAAACCTGTACTGGCAAGTTGCTGAATTGTGAAATAGTGTTGACACTGGCAGTTCAGAAGAGGGGAGGATTAGGCTCTATGTCAAGAGAGAACTAGTCGAACTCTGCTACAACGAACGCCACTTAAATGAAATTTTCACTACAATGAAAAATTCACAATTCCCCGTCAGCTGTCCATAGGAGTCAATGCATAAATATTGCCCCACAACGAACACTTTTTCTGCGATCGTCTCGCTTGAACGAAATTTTACTATGCAATTCCAGGCTCAGATACTTACTGCTATGTAGTAAACCCAATATTTAACATTTAGATACGTTTTCAGAGCCTGAAAATGCGTCAACAAAGTCTAAAACACGCTTTGGCACCACCAGAAACCGCAGCTATACCACCACTGTTCAGCAAGCATGGGCGCTGCCATTGCTCGATAGCGATAACAATGAGACTGCCCTGCTTTTATTTTGCCACTGGCTTGTTTTTGAGTCGCAGATGATCCGAAGCTGAAGCTCAGTCGCTCAGTTCATGGTTTCTTTTTTGCAGCTGCTGGGTGCAACGCGACACTATGCCTTTTCCGATGCTTATCATTATGTTCGCGCTGGCCAGTGTGGTAACTAATCGGAGCGGCTGTTCGTCCTCATTGACAACAGTCAGCTAGCCACGAGTAATGGATGATAAGAATGGCATAGAATAATCCAAAGGCCGCCGCTCCATAATACCCAGCCTCCATCTCGGCGTTGTCGGATACTTTTGACGGCGGACAGCTGCTGGTGTTAACGCGTTAATGCAACTGTTTGGTTCATTCACGAAAGCGGTTTTAGGCGTTGTTTCAGCGTGCTTTCCACCATGGCCTCGCTATGCATGGGTTAGAATCACGTCGTGATGCTACTGGGAAAAAATAGGAAGCAGCGGACATTTTTTGAATTTTGAGAATAAACGTTTCTTTGTTTTGCTAGCTCAGCTCAGATATTTTTTCGATTTCACTAGAACAAAATTTTCGCTTCAACGAAATTTTTTCCACGCCCCGTGAGTTTCGTTGTAGCGGGGCTTATCTGTAAATGTATTGAATAGGCAGTTAAGCTGAGGAAGGCATGGGGGACGTTATATATGTCGTTTTTAAATATGGTGTTGTAAGTATGTATAGTTTTAACTGTAATGTAGTAGCCGTAATTATTGCACTTGAGGTGAAAGGAACATGACGTGGTTTTCGAATTCTATTAAACTTTGTGTTGAACAAGTAATGATGTTAGTGTTATTGATGTGGTCATTTTTCTTGTGGTTGTTGCGGTAGGAGCTTTTGATCATGTGAGAGAACAGTTTGCCTTGCTCCATCCACCTGAGCACACTAAAAGTGCGGACGAGGCAATGAACTAACTGGAGTATCTGGTTCCTTTGGCTGAGCCGTGGTGCACTACAACAAAAAGTTGGTACCACTCACTGATAGGAAATGATTGCGCGGGTGCTGTTTGTGTGCTGGAGGCTCTAGTAATCATAGAGCAGTGATCCCACTCCTGCGTTAAAGTGCGCCAAATCAAATTAACTGCGCCAAAGTCGGATTCGGAAGCGTCTATCACCGGCAATATTCATGCTGGCGCATCAAAACATGTGCAACCTTTTCTCTGGGCCACCAGTCACAATCTCATACCTATAGTTATTCCACTAAATAAACAGTGGTTGCGTGTGCGTCCTAAATAATCCATGATGCTTTGTTTGGTGCCGATGCAACTTTTGTTGTGCGAATCTGCTTAACGGCAAAACGCGCTCTCCGCAAGGGCTCGTGACGTCTAGTACAATTGGTAGCGTGAAACTGTGGCGGCGATTCACTGGCGGACGGCGTTCCAAGAATGCTGCTGATAGCTCATTTAAGAGTTGCACGGCACGTAATTGAAGAGATATTCACTAATAACTTCACGCGTGCTGCCAGAATATCTGTCACATCTATTTCTGGACATCGTGATTTAATTTTCTGTGCAAATCACGTAAACGATAGGAATGCATTGACACTTTTCCTGTAATATTGTTACGAGTGACTGTGTTTATTTAAAGATGAGGTGAAATGGCGTTGTGAAAGAACAGCGTACTTCTGAGACAGGCCTAGAACGCTTCACCCAACCACACAGTCCAAGCGCCGCTCCACTACTCTTCTTCTTCTTCCGCGCCCCGTAGGCTCGCGCATCTTTGTTTCATTTCCCCCGGCGGCAGACGAAGCTTGCCGAGCGAGTTTAATAGGCCTATGATGGTACTGTTTGAGGCAGGCTACGTGAACAATTTGCGTAGTGCGCGAATGCCGGTTATTGGCTGTGACTCGGGCGACAACATAATTCACGTCACTGAGAGGTGTGACTATCACGAATGGGCCGGAATAGTTTGCTAGAAACTTCCGGTACAATCCTTTTTTACGAACAGGAGTCCACAGCCACACGTAGTCACCAGGAGAAAACTCTACGGGGATATGCTTGGCATCGTAGCGACTTTTGCTGTGTTCTTGCGAAAACAATGTTCGAAGGCGCGCTAGTTGACGTGCTTCTTCAGCGCGACACAACGTCTGAGCGATGGACAGATCTTCCTGATGCGATAAAGGTAATAGAGTGTCCAGAAAACTCTGTGGATTTCGTGCGTAAAGCAGAAAGAAGGGCGAATGTCCAGTCACTTCATGCTTGGCGGTGTTACACGCGTAATTAACAAACGGTAAGACGGCATCCCAGTTCCTATGGTCAGCATCAACGTACATCGATAGCTTATTCGTGAGAGTTCGATTTGTTCTCTCAGGGAGACCGTTAGTTTGCGGATGGTAAAGGGTGGAGTGGCGATACGAGGAGCCACAGAGGCGCAAAATTTCTTCAACCACATCGGCGATAAATTGTCGTCCACGGTCACTAATGACAACCCGTGGAGCACCGTGACGCAGTATGACCCGTTGTAACAGAAAAGAAGAAACAGCGGCTGCTGTGGCCGATGTCAGTGCGTCCGTTTCCGTATAACGCGTTAAATAATCCACGCACACTATAACATATCGGTGGCCCGATGGTGTCTTAGGAAGGGGTTCAAGCAAGTCGATGCCGACTTTTTCAAAAGGGAATGTCGGTGGAGGGATGGGCTGCAAATAACCTATCGGGGCAGTGGTGGATCGCTTGTGGTGCTGACATA